ACAACGTGCTTGCAACAACATAGCATGGGCCTCCCTCCAGTGCTCTCGGAAGGAGAAAAAGACGAAAATGAACGAGGTGTATCTATCCATGCGGTGTATCTTTCCATGTTCAAGCGGATGATTCACTCTCTTTTTTGCACATGTCGAGAGTAGTTCCGAGAGGAATGTATAGGGCCCCGCTCTACTGCTGTCGACATCGCCTACCTTTATGCAATGAGTGGCGGTCTATCTCTCCATGTTCTAGTGGAAGATGCACTGTCGTTTTGCAAATGTCGAGAGTCGAGCAAGTATTCCTCATGCTGACAGGTTACTTTGTCGCCTACTCTACGACATGCTTACAGGGTGGGGGCATGGAAGATTCGAGGACGAAAACGCACGTCGGTGGGACCGGCCCCGACGAGCATGGCAGTATGGCATCGTGCTTGCGACAAACGACGGTGGAGGGGACGAGACCGGCATGGCGGACAAGGTGGACATCCGTGGCGAAATGGAGACCGCGAAAGGAAAAAGAAAAAAAAGAAAAAAAGAAAGACAGGTCCACCAGACGGCGGGAAAACATAAATAATACATCGTACGAAAAACATTCGTACAACGTTCGTACAAACGGACATATGAGCCTGTCCGTTCGGACGGACTTGCCAAGAGGCCGTAGTGCCAAAACTCGCGTACCGGTACGAGTACCTGAAAATTTCGAGGTCGACATCCATTTCGGGGAGGCTTGGGGAAACTCGGCGCGCAAGGCATATTCAGCCTCGGCTTCAATAGCTAGGCCAAGTACTGGTGGTTTAAGTTAGGGCAGTCCAGTTATATGTACCTTTACTTGTTTACTTAGGCAGGTTGGACATACCCTTAAGTTAGGGCCTTGTCTGATCCTATGTCATAGGAAAGGGGGTTACTAAAGGAAAAAGAACTAAGTGAGCTAACGAACTACTTGGACCAAATTGATGTGGGATTGTGAGAGATGTTTGTTTATGCATGCTTGTGGGCTCTCCCTCTAGGGCGTCTATTTCGGTAGGCTAGTTGCTTTAGACGCTCGCCAAGTGCTGAAGCCATAAGTAGATGAGATGGATGATGGGAGGGGGAACTTGGGATGAAGATAGGACTGACCCTGCTAGGAGTTAGGATCAGGGCTAGCCACACTCTCATCTAGAGGTTGTGCGGGTTATCTTTGATTCTGAGTAATCAAGCAGGTGTTAGAAAATAGTCCCGAGTATAGCTTGCTTTGTCATTTTGTCTTTCAGCTTTGTATAAATCTTGACAGCCTCCTGTTCCTACGGAAAGCGCTGCCGAAGTTTCGGCAAATCTGAAAGAGTTAGGCATTTTTGGACTCGTGGAAATTCTGAAAAGACACTTTTCCTACGGGAAGCGTTGCCGAAATTTCGTAGAATTTAAGGGGTTAGAATACTTTTCAGCTAAGGGCTACTTAGCAAATCTATCCTGGATAGAGGAGGTGTTCAGTGACTTGGTACTAGTGAGGATAGCTGACAGTGAAAATAGTAGAGGAGTTAGAACTACGACTTGAAGAGTATTCTCCTTTTGACATGAACATAGTAGTGGTTCTTTTGATCTGTACTGTGATGCAGGTTTCCATATTTCGTTTGAAGGCTTGATCTGATCAGCCTGATCCTTCAAAAGAATCAATCTTCTGTATCACTGATAACAGGTCGGTTGCCGATTCGTCGGTTTACGACTCAACTTTTCTATTTCTCTTGCCTCTCAACCTAAGGCCTTGGACCTTACCAGAATTTGTGTGTTTCTTTGGGTTTTCACCTTGTTTCTTTATAAATGACAATTTCTTAAGGACTGAGTATTTTTGTTGAGGACTGGTGGGGAAATGGTTGGGCTCATGTGCTTGAGGCAGGGTGTGAGCTGCAGGAGGCTGAAAAGTTGAGCCCTTTAGTACGTGTGCTATTGTTTGAATGTTGTGTATATGATTGCATGTATGTATGGGAGAGTCTCGATTGAGTCATAATAAGTGACTATGTTTTGGAGTCAGACGAGCAAACCACACAACTGTCTTGAGAGTGAACCACCCCACAACCTTTTGTTTGAGTGACAGTGTTCTTTTCCCATCCTGCTAATGTGATAGTCCGAGTAAGCGTACGCTCGGGTGACCCTCATGGGGCTATACGACCGCACGCCTACATTTTTCTCTACCTGCGGTTGTTTCCTCCTTTGAGTTTCCATGGTTGGACGTTGTAGTCCGTGGTAGCCGACAAGGTCAAACCCCTTGAGGTTGGCTACCACAACAGCCGTGAAGCTGTCTACTCAACCCCTTCTGCACAGGGTGCATGCACAGGGTGCAAAAGAGGGTGTGGTCGTCAACCACGCATGGCGGTTGTCTAGCGTCGAGAAGGTAACCTCTCAGCACGCTTGTCAGCCGATACTTGAGTGTCGAACGCGACCCTCGAGCTTACCAAGGGTCGCGTTGTCGGACCAAATACCCTTACAA